GAGGGGTGGGGAGAGCGGCAGGGCCTCATCCTGCTCCTCCTGGGGAACAAGGTTAAAGTCACTCCGGTGTGTGCCGTAGCAGGGACAGGGCTGGAAGGTCTCACTCTGGGGTTGTTGCCCCAAAGAGGGAATATTGCCTCTTTTAATAATATTTTCTCCGGGTGGGTTTTTTTTTCCCCTTCCTCTTGCGAGGTGATGGCGGTGACAGCCCCACTCTGCACCCCCCGCCCCGTGCCCAGGGTAGGGGTTCAGGGGAGCTGGGATTGTGTGAGCTGGCGGTGGGGAGCGTTGTGCCACACTGAGGACTGGGGTGACATCCATGGCACCCCGCTCTGGGCTGTGACCTCAGCCACGGGGACGGCACGTGTGGCTTTCCAGGCTGGCCCTGATGGCTTCCTGCCCAGCAGCTGGGGACCACCGGGATGTGGGTGCATGGGTTTTGGGGGGGAACCTGGCTGAGATGCCTCTGGCTACTGGGCCAGTTGGACCCTGGTGCCATACTGGGTGGGTAAAACACCAAACTGGGGGAACTCACCTGTTTGCTGGTCTCAGCCAGGCCTGGAGGAGCGGGGCTGATCCCGCAGTGTCCGTGCGGGGATGGCAGCGGGACACGGGGGTCCTGGGGAGGTCTCTGTCCTTCGGAGGGTTCACTGCCCAGCACGATGGAACCGCTCCCATGCGCAGGCCCAGGGCCAGACCTGTGAAACGCTCGTCCCAGAGGATGCTCTGCTCATTTCCTGGATCTTCATAACATGTCGGGGGGTGACTTCAGAGCCCCATAGGCCTGGCTTGGTCAGAGGGATCATGGCTGCTCCTGCAGATCCTCTCCCCTCCCGCAGCCTGCAATTCTGCCTGGGCTGGTCCCCAAGCACTTTCCCTGGGAGAAAAGTTGGGAGAAGTGGTGAGCATGTGGTGAGAGCTCACAGGAAATGTGCCAGAGACCTTTATAGGACAGGAGATGAGGGTGAACTGAGAAGCAGGTGAGGCAAAGGTCTTTATTTTTATTAGGGAAGGCTGGCAAGTTCCAGGAAGGTCGATTCTTTGCATGGTGTGTGCTCGTTAATAAAGATAAGACTCCTGTGCCACTTTGGAGGTGTTGCTAGAGCCACATCCTTGGTGCTGTCTGCTGCTCTTAACCCTTTGCGGCCTCCTACAAGAGCAAAAAGTCAGGGTGGAGCTGAATCTTTTAGCAGCTGCTGAGAATGAGGGACTGCTCCCAGTAACCTGCAGCCTCCCCCACTTGGGCCCTGTCTCAGATCCTGGGGAGCCTTCATTTTCTGCTGCCTTGGGCTGTATTTAAGTGTATGGGTGTCGTATCCTCCTTCACGCTGCTCTTTTCCAGCCTGATACTCATTTAAAAAAAAGGCAGGCTGGGCTGGGAAGCAGTTGGAATGAGGGCAGCAGCACTCCTGGTCCTGGGGAGGATGGTCGGAGGCAGCTTGGCCCGCAGCAGGACCAGCAGTGAGATACCCTGGGCGTTCACTTGGTTTGCAGAAGTGGGAGCTGAGGGTCCTCCCCGGGGAGCAGGTTGTGGCCCGGCAGTGTTGCTGACGGGGACATGGCTGCTGGCCCCAGATGTGCGTGTGCGCAGAAGGGCTGCGGAGGCCCGTGTCGCAAGGGAAGAAAGCGCTGCAAAAAACTATATTGAGAAGGAAACTGAAAATGAAAGTTCCTCCGAAGGGACGGCCGCAGTTGCAGCCTGCCCCTTCCGAAGGGTTTGCCAGGAGCCAAATGTGAAGAATCACAAGTCAGCTGCTTCGCAGACTCCTGTGCTCGCCGGCCATCATTCATACTGAGCACACATCAGAAATTCCCTGACCTTATTGCTGGCCGAGGTCTGGGTGGGAGGCAGTGGGGTGATGTGGGACATGGCTGGCTGCACCTAGAGAGCACACTGTAAAAGCTCCAGACTCAGCTGAACTCTTTGGCTGGATCCTCCCCCGCGCTCAGTGCATCCTTGGGTTGTAGCACCACAAAGTATGGTAGAAATTCACTTGCCCACAAGCTCCAGAGCTGCTCTGAGTCAGGTTTTGCTTCCCTTCCTATGCATGGAAGTGCCCAAAGAGGGTCTAGGATTGGCAGTGGAGGAGGCACGGGAGGGTCTCCCCGGCAGAGGAGGGGATGGGGTCATGAGGACCCTCTCGAGCACCCCCTGAGCTGCTTCCACCGTGTCCCCGGGCAGAGAAGAGCAAGGAGAGGAGCAGTGCTGGAGCCAAGTCTCTGCTGATCTGGGCAAGCAGGAGCCAGCTCTCCTCCCTGCTTCACCCTCGGTCCCAACTGCTGATCCTCATCACATTTTCAGCTTTTCCTTGGATGGGAATGTTTGAGGTTGGGGAGGAAAAGGGAAATCCTGTCCTCGGAGGCGCATAGGAAAAAACAGCATCTCCATCCGTGTGTCAGTGCGGCTTGGGCTCCCTGGATGCAGCTTTGCAAATACCCCTGGCTTTCTAAGCCAGGCTGATAAGCTTTGCATTTCCAGCCCCCCATCCCCACCTCGGCTGCAGGCTCTGCTTTAAGTTACCAGTTATGGCCTCCATTTGTTTTTTTCTTCTGAATAATCTTCAGTGTGAAGATCTAAGATTACACCATGTGTTGCACTTTTAATCCTGACACGAGTGGTTATTTATCCATAACCATAGCTTTTCTTTTTTTTTATTTTTGCCTGGGATCCAGTTTAAATTTCTGGCTGTCAGTGTGTCTTCCTGAATTCAGGGCTGGTGCAAATCAGAAACCCCACCAGCTTAGCCCTGTAGAAGTCTGCCCTGGGAACATGTACTGGCATGCCAACGAGAGGCCAGGAGCTGCAGGGCTCTCTCTCTAACCTGCTTCCTTCTCTGCAAAAACCAGGGGTGAGGTCAGTGTGACGAGCAGAGGGGTAGAGGAACTGAGGACTGCGACGAGCCCTAAACCACAGCTCTGGTTTTAGGGTCCCCGTGAAGTTTAGGGGCAGTAGGAGCTGTGCGTTTGGTTCTCTCTTAATTTTCCTTCTTCCGAGGGGAGCTCAGAAGAGAGAGCAGGGGGAGTTAGATGTCGGGAAACAGAGAGCTCATCTCTTGTGGAAGTTGTGGGGAGCGAGGAGGAGGTGCTTGCGAGGAGAAGTGGGTGCTGTCGCTGCAGCCCGGCGCGGGCTGGTTTCCTCTCGCCGCGCTCTGAACCCTCGTGGCCGCATCATTTCGGAGCCCCGTGGCTCAGCCCCCAGCCACCTTCCAGCCCTTTGTGGTGGGATTTTGGCTTTCATCCCAGCGTGAAGCCACCACCGATGCTGCTCTTGTCCGGGCTGAGTAAGAGCCCGTGGCACTTGCCGAGCGGGTCAGAGGATAGCTGGCTGGTGGCCAGCACGGGCAGGGAGCTGGGTGATTTTCCTCCTCCGGCATATGACTGTCTGCAAACACGTTACCAAGAAGAGTCAGGAAGAAAGGAGAAATCTAGCCGAGGGACTCGGTGTGGCCAGGAATTCGGGGAAGGGAGGAGCCAGGTCGCTGGCAGAGATATAAGTGGGCAGCATCACTCCTCTGGGCGCTTGGCTCGGCCAAAGGGGCATCCTGAGGCTGGCCTGGGAGGTGGGAGAGGACAGGGAGGGCTCCAGTGTCCCTGCTGGACCCATAGCCTGGGTGGCTTACCGTCTCTCCTCATTCCAGGCAAAGCTGATATTCCCAAGAGTCTCTCTGCAATGGCCTCAGGGAACGACAGTGACCCACCAAGGGCCCACGGACGCCGGGGAAGCAATGGACGCAGGCCGTCGCAGGAGCTCAACTCAGGTAAAAAGCCTGCTGTGATATTCAGGGGAGGAAGCATTTTCAACCTGGGGTTGTTTGAGGTTTGGGTTTTTTTTTTTTCCCCTTGCTGTGTTTCTCTGAGAAGGTGTTTTTTTCCATACCTCCCAGGCCTTTTGCAAGACTGGGAAAACAAATCTGTTCCATAAAGCTGTGCTGGATTGAACTGGGAGAGCGCATGCTCCATGCTTTTGGGAGATGCCTGGCGTTGGGTCAGTGCGAGGAGGGCTTGAAGGGCATGGAAGAAATAGCGTGGAGGGAA